ACTTTTAAACCGTTAAAGAGTAAGTTAATATACTTTATATAGAGGAGATAAGCAATAATAACGCTAGTCTACCTTAAGACTAACGTAGTAATACTAGTCTAGAAGGCCTACTTATTAAGGGTTTAAGTATACTAGAAACTACGCTAAAAAGTATACTTAAAATAGCTCTAGGTAAAGATAAAGCGCTAGACTATAGCCCTAACTAAGCTCACGTTATCTATATAGGGCTATACCCTACCGCGCGCTAAGGAAGTCTATAGTAAGGTAATTTAGTCCTTAATCTCCTACGCTATAGTTATATTCTATAAGATAACGCTTATAGGAAGGAAACTATATAGGATCGCGTGGGACTTAGTATAGGACTAGTTAGCTTACCTCTAAGTAGTAACGGGCGCCTACCGCGCGACCTTAGTCTACTAAGTAAAAGCGGAGGTATAGGTACCTTTAATCGACCTTTACTTAAACTAAAGAATAATAAATACCTTTTAAAGGTTAAAGGATTTAAGGCTCCTAAGCTAAATTTAATATATATTTAATATAGTCGCGGGTATACTTAAGAGGAGGCGATACTAAAGAGTAAGTAGGCTCTTAGCGGCGCTACTACTTAGTAGGCCCCCCCTTATAGAGGAGATAAGGGGGGTCTAGAGCTAGATAAGATCGGACGACCTTTTTAATAAAGCTAGGTCGCTTAAAAGGCTAAATAAGGAATAAGCCGTTTAATAGAACGCTAAGGAAAATATAATCTAATAATACTAAACTACCCTATACCCCGCTAACTTCCTACTATAGTTTAATAAGGTAATAACGCTAGACTATTATAAGGGACTCCTTAAGTATATTAGTATAGTAATTACTTAAATATATATAGGAAAGATTAGGCTTAACGACTTCCTTTTTAATTAATAGGTCCTTAGTATAGTCTCGCTAATATATACTTATAGATAAAAATAAGATATTATCTACTACGCGATAATTAACTATCTATTAACGAAGGAGGTAAGAGAGTCCTTCTTAATATAGGCCTAAGATATAGGCGATATAAGAGCGGGCCTTTAAGGGAAAAAGATAGTAGCGCCGCTAGTATAATAGTTTCTTTACTTAAGTAGGCTCCGCTAGTTCGACCTAGCTTAGAGGCTATATATAGATATACTAGATAATAAGGCTAGGGCCGCGCTAAAGATAGAGCGGCCTTAAACTAAGACTACCTTAGCTAACTACCTCCCTTACTAAGGTAACCTAAGAAAGAAAGAGGACTTATAATAATAGGTTTATAATATCGACTAAATTAAACCTAAACTAAGCGTAAACCTTATTACTTAAACTATAAACTAAATAAAACTAATATAACTTAACTAAGCTAGCCTTAATAGCTATAGAATAAGACCTACTATTAAAAGACTATAACTAAATAAGACCTAACTTAAAACTAAACTAAGATAGAGCTAATAACTAGCTTTAAACTATAACCTTAGCTTAACTTATCGATAGTAATATCTACCTTATTATTATAGTAAGAATAATAAGACCCTTTAAGGGTAGTATATAAGGTATAAAAGGAAGTAACCTAAGACTTATAAGGAGTATAAGGACTATTATTACTATAAGAAGCCTAATAATAACTAGCTAAGCTTAACCTTAAACTTAAACTAAAGCTAGTCTAGATAGCTAGCTTATAAGATAGAGTAATAACTAGGGTTTATATTAAGGTAGGACTTATACTAGCGGCGGCGCGGAGGCGCTCGCTATAGCCTATACTATAACTATAGATCTAATTAAGGTTAAGACTAATAACGATCTTAGCTAAGACTAAACCGCGATAGCTATAAAGACGCTATTAAATAAAGTTAAGGGCGTTAGTAAGGTTAGTAAGTAATATAAGATAAGGGCGCTTTAGGGTAAGCTCGGCGCTAAGAGAACTACCGGGCTAAGACTTAGCGTTAGAGCTAAGGGGGGGTAACGCGGTAGTCCCTTACGTTAGCTTTAAGATAACCGCGGGTATAGTAATAGTAACGGACTCCTTAGCCTTAGCCTTAAATAGACCCTTAGATATAATAGCCGCCTTACCTTTACCTTTACCCTTACCTTCCCCTTTATTAAAAGGGGCTAAGGCTAGATTAGGCCTAGTAAGGTTAAAACCGCTACCCTTACTATTATAGTCGTTATTAGTAATAGGGTAAAAATAGTTAGTAAGATCGTTAACTACTATAAAAGTCTTTTAAGTAACTAAAAGCAACTTAAGCCTAACTTAAGCTAAGGTCTTAATAGTATCGCTAAACTTACTTAGGTACTTTTCTAAGGACTTATATATATAGTAGGTATTATCTATAAAATAGGTAAAAGCTAAGGTAAAAGTCTTAATATTTTTAGCGACTATAGCTAAACTAAGGGTAGACTCGCTTAACGCGCCCTTACCTTTAATAGTAAGGGCCTTTTAACTAGTATATATATAAGTTTCTAGAGTAATATAGTAAAGGCGCTCTTATACTAAGCCCTTTATAAGGGAAGGGCTATTAACCTTAGACTATACTTAGTAGAGGGTATAAGCGGCCTTCTTACCTTTAAAGGTAATCTAGAACTTAGATTAGTACTAAACTTAAACTATATTATAGCGGGGTAAGGTTACTTACTTAATAATAAGACTAGTTAGAGTTAGTATAAATAATATATACTTTAGCCTTTATAGCTAGTAAAGTTAGTAAAAAGTATTAAAGGTAAGACTAACTTAAGATAAAACTAAGACTAATACTTATAGGACTAGTTTTAATAGCTAGTAAAGGACTTATAAGTAAGCTTACTAGTAAGGCGCTTAATATATATAAAATAAAGAATAGAGCGTTCTAATCCCGCTATAGTAGCGACTTTCTTATAAGGAGGGGGCTTTAAAGGAAGTAAGCCGCTACTACTTAAGTTAGCTTCTTAGTTAAATATAATAATATAATAGCGTATAAACTAAATACTATATAAGGGAGAACTAAGGATATAGAAATAATATAAGTAAGGAGCTAGGGCCTATATAAGCGATAATAAATAAAGAGGTAAGAGGAGATAAGAACGAAACTATAAAGGGAGAGTAGGTATATATATATACGAGCTAGGCGCGCGTAATTAATACTTACGCGATAGATAGTAAATATAGGCTACTATGCCCTTAATCGGGAAGTCGCGTAGCTAGATAGGAACCGATTTTCGATTAGCGGAGCTAGCCGACCGAATTTTAATTAGCCGGCCCTACCTAAGAGCGACCTATACTAGCGCCCGGCCCGGTAACCGGATATTACCTACCCTACTAACTAATAGACTAATAGGCTAACGCAGCCGCTACCGCGGCTACGTAGTAGTAGCGCGGGAGCCGTAGAGAATAAAGGCGCCTACGAGCCGGGCCCTTAGAGAGAGACTACTACCTATAACCCTAGGCCCGGGCTAGTAAGCCCGGGCCGCGGCCGCTTAGGATAGTAGCGGCTATAGCCTAAGAGGGCTTACGCCGAAAAGCGAATACGCGGGAGAAGCCCGCGGTAGTTAGCGTAAATTTCCTATATATTATAATAACGACCTCGTTTAAGGTAGACCTATATCGAAAGAGGGGAGGGTTTTCCCTTAAGCACTTTAGTTTTTCCCTTCTATTTAATATCGAAGTTCTAGATACCTCTAGTAAGGTCCTTAGCGTAATTTAATAAATATATCTAGCCTTTTAAGGAGGTAATAAAGTCTTAATCTTATAGAAAATTAAGTTTATTAAGGAACTATTAATATTAAAGGTCTTAACCCTTAAAAATTATAAGGGGAGTTAAGGCCTAGCTTATAATAAAGATATATTTAACTATTATAGTTTAATAATACGATCTTAGCTACTTTTTAAGAGTCTCTTACTTCTTTAAGCTCCTTAATATTAAACTATTAAAGCTAAGGCCCTTAAGGATACCTATTTTATTTATATTAAAGTAAGACTTTAATAGGATTACCTATATAGCTAGTAGCTTAAGTAATTAAAACTATTCCTTAATATAGGCTATAAGAGCGCTATTAACTTAAGTATACTTAAGAGATCTACCTTTAATAGTATTAATCTCTAAGTTCTAAGCTAAAAAGCCTAAAATCTACTACTTCCTAAGTAAATAGGTATTACTACCGGCCTTAATAATATAGCTAGTAAATTTCTTAACCTATTAATATATTAAAGGTAGCCTAAAGGCGGCCTAGGTAAGAACCTAGTTAGTAAAGTATTTTTCTTACTCTTAGCTAAGCCTTTAATATACCTCTTTTACCTCCTTAATAAGCAGAGCCCCTTTAAGACGTATATAGAGGGTCCCTCTTAAAATACCTTACTTTTAACTAATATAAAGCTAAGGTATCTTATTTTTAATAGCTTTATATACTTTTTAAAGCTAGTTTTTAGTATACTTAAAAAGCTAAGGTATTATTAATATAAATAGTATTTATTTTATAATTATAAGGTAAGAGATATACGAGAAAACGTAGTTATAATATTATATATTTAACGATATAATAGTATTATAGAGAGTGCCGGTATTAGGGTTTACCGGACTCTAGGTAGGCTGACTTATACGTCGCGCTTACCTCGCGCGGGGGATAAACCCCTATAGTAGGGCCCCTCCCTAAGGGGGACCCCTCCCCTACTAGCTCGGGCGCTCGAGTACCCTATTTCGTAGCTAGAGCTATCTAGAGATTTTTATAGGTATTTACTATCGAGGAAAACGTAAAAGATAGTATATATAAGATGTTAAGGGAGATATTATAGTACCCCGCCTTTTTGCTAGTGTTGGCCGAATAGAGATTTGGTCTTGGGCAAATAGTAATACTCTAAATTAATGCTTGAAACGCCTCTGGGCAGAAAGCGGCTAAACCGGGGGAGCAGGGAGGCGTGCCCCCCCTTCTTCATCCGCACCGACCTCGTACATCAATGTCCAATACATCCACGGCCTCTCCCTCAGCGCCATACATATGAGTACCATGGGCCAAGTCTCCCGACGTCCAGCAGCACCATGGTCCTCGGCGCGCCATTCACGTGTGCCCTGGCGATTGTCCTCGTTGGCTTGCCCTTGACTTCGCCCGCGCAGGCCCACAGCCGCGGCCAGGCCACCAGCGGCACGAGCACAAAGTCTGGCATAAGTGCCACGGGCGCCACGAGCGGTACGACTACTTCGGCTTCGAGTCTCTGCGAAGCTCGAACCATCAACTACATTACACACACTCTGCCCCAATCCTGCCTCAAGAGCTCCTGGGCTGGCTCCAGGCCCGCCCCGAGCCAGAATCCCGCAACCAGCGCCACGCATCGCTCCAACGGTACATCCGAAATGGGCACTATCGAGGCGCAGCCTGTCGCTGCAGCGCCCAGCAGCGAGACCCAATCTGCCGAGGCGGCCGCCACGTCCTTCATGTCCTTCGAAGACTGGAAGGAGATGATGCTGCGGCGAGCGGGGCAGGACCCCCAAGAATGGCGGTCTCGCAAACCCAGCCAGCAACAGACGGCCGAGAAGAACCCACCCGACGCGGCGCATCACGCTGGCTTGGGCGAGGAGGACGAAATCTCACTCAACTTCGGCGAGTACAAGGGTAGCGATGACAAGGCGTCTTCGGCCAACAATGCTGGCGGGACCGGGGACGGGACCTCGAATCTGGACGCGACGCTGGTGTATGGCGATGCCGTCGTTCATCGTAGCAAAGATGCCGGCAAGACTTGCAAGGAGCGCTTCTCGTACGCTTCCTTCGACGCTGGTGCCACAATCCTGAAGACGGCTGCCGGGGCCCAAAACGCCAGGGCCATCTTGGTCGAGAATAAGGACACATACATGCTCCTCGAGTGTGCTGCGCCGTCCAAGTATGTCATTGTTGAGCTCAGCGACGACATCTTGATCGACACTGTTGTCCTGGCCAACTTTGAGTTCTTTTCCAGCATGATCCGACACTTTCGTGTCAGCGTCAGCGATCGTTATCCCGTCAAAGAAGAAAAGTGGTTGGAACTCGGCCGCTTTGAGGCGCGCAATTACCGCGATATTCAACCGTTTCTCGTTGAAAACCCTCAAATATGGGCCAAGTACGTCAGGATCGAGTTTTTGACTCATTACGGCAACGAGTACTACTGCCCGGTTTCGCTTCTGCGCATACACGGTTCGCGAATGTTGGATTCCTGGAAGGACAGCGAGACTGGCCGCGAAGAGGATGCCCAACAGCTGGAAGGGCAGGAATCCATCAAGGAAATATTCCAGGCCGACACCACCTTGGGTTCAATCATGCCGACATCCGAAGAGGTCGTAGGGAACGCGTCTTTGCCTGCAGACGTATCGCCACGGTCAAGGCACTTGGGCTCGAATCCCTTTGATGCCTGGGTTGCAACCTGTCGCGCGAGTGAGAGCCAATTCGTGCACCCGCCGACGGCTAGCCAAACTTCGGACGACTCTCCCGGCAGCCCAACGCCTCGGCAGAGCACGCCGTCGGCAGAGAAGCAGCAGAGACAAGCCACTGCCACGCCAAAGTCCGCGAGCCCGGGCTCTAGCGAGACCCCGGAGCCCGCGCCATCCACGGTGACACAAAGTTCGGCTGCTGCCTCATCTGGCGATGCTTCAACGGCCGGCGGCAATGCAAGCGGCGCAAGCACCACCGCCTCTCCCGCCGCACACGAAACCGCCAGAGAGCGTAGCGGCAACGCCACGGCTGCGACCGTGAGCAAGTCTTCGATCTCGGGGCCCGTTAGTGGCAAACCCCGGACCAGTGGGACCTCTGGCCCGACAGCTGCATCCCCCACGGTACAGGAAGGCTTCTTCAACGCCATCACTAAACGTCTTCAGCAAGTCGAGTCAAACCTCACGCTGTCCCTCAAATACGTCGAGGACCAGTCCCGGCATGTGCAAGAGGCCCTGCTGAGGGGAGAGCAGAAGCAACATTCCAAAATCACTCAGTTCCTTGACGACCTGAACCGGACTGTGCTCTCCGAACTTCGCAATGTGCGCGATCAGTATGACCAGATATGGCAGTCGACCGTCCTCTCCCTCGAGAGCCAGGCAGATCGGTCGGAGCGGGATATGATGGCATTGAGTGCCCGCCTCAACCTCTTGGCAGACGAGGTTGTCTTTCAGAAGAGGATGGCCATTGTACAGGCCGTCATCCTCCTTTCCTGCCTTTTCCTCGTCATCTTCTCTAGGGGAGTCTCCATCTCGTCCTTTGCCCCGCCACCGGCACAGTCTACCACAGGCACCGTGTATGACGAGCCGCCCGTCCGTCACGACGACGTGTACCGGGTAGCCCAGCACCGTTGGCGCAATAGGCCGGCCGCACACGACGATGCCGATTTCGCGCAGTCCATTCCCGCCACAGAAGAAAGCGCCGGTTCGGCCCCCTGTGAATCCCCGCTGAGTGCCCACCTTCCTGGAAATCTCGAAGGCACCCCCCCCGAGTATCACAGTCTGTCTCCGCCCCTTACACCGGGCTTGCCCGACCAACCCCGGCCATCACACATGCTCGCTTCTGGTCGCGAGCTCTACAACTCGGAAAGCAATCCTGCGCGCCGCTTGCCTTGCCTGTCGCACATCAACTCTCGCAAACCACTCCCTTCGCTCCCAGAGCACCCCTCTCCTCCACACGAATCATAGGCCGCATGTAAATCGCATGTTCGTGGAACAAGACTCTCGTGAGGCAAAGTACTTGGCCAAAGTGACATTTTCCCCCTGAACGTGGTCACGTGGGATTGTGTGTATGGCAATGCGTTGACAGTCATGGGATTAAACATCTCAACAGGCACCATGGTAGCCTCCGACCCTTTGCATTATCTCTAGCTAGGAAGCGTAACTGTTACATGGTGGTTATTCTAAGCACCAGAGCGATAGATAGCAAAATGCTTCACGGCCGGTAAATCACAACCCACAAGTCCCAGGGACCTACAGAGCCTTGATGCCCACGGAAGCAATAGCAGGGCTGTCAGTTCATGTGGCAGCCCAGGCGAAGCTCACGGCATTGCCGTGCCGTACATGTGCTGGATGGCCGTCTCATAGTCGTACTCCTCCAGAGCAGCCAATCGAGTCCCCCGATCGTATTGCGAGCGTCTTCGTCGTTGCTCGTCTCGGAAGTGCTGCCCCGCATTGGGAGTGAAGAGACCTGGAATTCGTCCTCAGCTTCCGCACCACGCGGCTCAGAGTGGAGTTGAGCGACACTTACCGACATGTTCTGCGTTCTCACAGCTTCTCTTCATCTTTGACTGGTTGTCAGGCTCTGGAAATGGCTCTTCCTGGCCCGCCAACTCGGGTACGGGGCCATTCGAGGTAAAATAGAGCTGCGCAGGATTTAGCGCACGTAACCGGTCACATCTGATGGCACTGTTCCTGGGGGCCGGAGGAATTACCTTTGGGCGATAGTGAGGAGCCTCGAGCATGACGGAGCTGTTGCGGAACTTTTGCACCAGACAGTCCTTGCCCTGGATAGCTGGCACATGTCTTAGCTCAGGCGCAGAGAGTGTGGGTCGTGGGACAACAAACTGGCATAGGAGATCTCGGCCACCTTGTCGCTCTTGAAGCAGTTCCTGCAAGGTGCTTAGCGGGAGAACAGCGTGATGTGTCAGAAGAACTCACCAGCGCTGGTTTCCTCGCGCATCGACAAACTTTTGTGCTAGAGGTCAGCGACACCGCGTACCGGCTACGGACAGGGACATTACCGACATCGATTATGTCCAGGGGCTATACTCTATATTAGTGCAGACTCAAGGAGGCCAGGGACTCTTGGCTTACATCGACGAAATTGATAAACGCATAGCCGACACTGTTGAGGGGATGTCAGTAGGTCAATCGCCACGTTAGAGGGCGGGTGTTTGGAGCAAAACTGACTTGCAGTCGTTGGCAAAATCAATGCGCAAGTACATGAAGTCGTATTTGCCCCAGCTTGACTCGTCAATTATCCGTTTGAGCATCGCCTGGTCGACCTTGTTTGGGATGTTCCGAAGCATAATCTGGAGTTCCTGGTTAGACATGGTCGTAAATAGGGGAGCCGGACATACCGTGGTGCGGACGTCTATCCCGTCGCGAATCCGATGGATGTCGACATGGTTGTGGTGGCTCGCGACGCCGTGATACGACGATCTGCTGATACGCATCGCATTCTGCCGGCGGGCTTCGGACCTCCCGAAGCTAGGTAGCGGCCTGGACGGGCTGTAGTTCTTTTGGGTCGTGAGTGCCGGTGACGGTGGCGAGTGGTACAGGGGCCCGACAAGAGGGTACGACGGCGACACGGGAGCGATGGGGGTAATTGGTCCTTGACTGGCAGCCGGAAGGTAAGAATCGAGCATATAAGGCATCCCTGGGCCAAACGGGGACTGGAACATGAGCGGGTACATTGTGAACGGCGGCTGGGCAGGTGCAGGTCGTGGAGTAGCCGATGCAGTCGACCCCTGCTGGTGTTGGTCATCCACGACCTTACCGATGCGGAGTCCATGCATGGCTCCCGCGAGTCCGGGGACCGCCGCGCTGTCAGGCATGTATAGCGAGACGGCGAGGTGTATTCCCTTATCGAAAAAACCGACCGTTAGCGGCCAGACAACATTGCCCCCATAGGACAGACTTGCCTCGGGAGTGACGAAGTTGTTAAAACTCGACACCGCACGAACGACGGCTGACACGTCGCAGAACTCTGCTACGGCCTTGAAGGATCCGTTGGGGAAAGCCGACCGCCTGACAAACGCGAAGAGCCGGCCGTGTGACTGGAGAAGGCCCTGTACCATGTCCATGGCTTGGATGACGTCCAACGGAGTAGTACACTGTGGGGCGTTGGCAAAGACCAGAACTCGGCCGGAGTTGCACGCTATCATCTCGCGGCATATGGCTTCCTGCAGACGCTATGGTGAGCACTGTGGCGATTTCTCAAGACTTGAAGCACGCACCTGGGGCATCTGGGCCGGATTGGCATAATCGACCTTCCAACCCCTCTCGGCAAGACTGATACTGGCCAGAGTCGAGCAAGCATCTCTGATATCCACAAAGTGTGCGAAGACATGGCCGTTAAAGGTGTTGAGGAACCGAGATCCGTACAGAGGCTTCCCACGAGCTTCCAGTTCCTGCAAGACATGTCAGCTGAACAGCAGACTTGAAATGTGAAAGAGCGGTTGCTACACCTACAGTAAGCCAAACGCTGACCTCGGACACCGAGATGCAGACGTGAGAAGAAATTTCAAGATGTCGAGATAGCCCCAACTCGTGGCTCAGGGCTGCAGCGACCGGCCCGTACTCGCTCAAGCGGGTGCTCTCGATGGCGCCAACGAAGGGGCTGAACGCCGAGGCCGTTGGAGACAGCCTGGTCCCGAGCTGGTGAGAGGGCGTGACGAATGGATCCTTATCCAAGTGGGCGGCATTGCTGCCAAAGCCGCTGGCTGGCAGACCGCCCGGTGGCGTGGCTGCAGCAGAACGGGCAAGCCCTTGAAGGAGCTTGGACGACTTGGACGAGCCCTCATCGGGCGAGAACGCAGTCAAACGCGTGTCTGGCGTCCCTTTGAACGACTCTGCGCCGCCGCTGGAGGACCTCGGCGACGAGGGGTTGTCATGCTCGCGCACCTGTGCCATGGCCACTGTCCAGGAAGGGGCGATGCGTCAGTTGTTCGAGGCTGGCTGGCCGGTGTCTGCTCCGTTGTCTTTCTGCTAGCTCCCTTCCCTTGGCTTGGCTGTGGCCGCGGGTTGCAGTCCAGCGACCAAGAGTTTGGGCAAGTGAAGTGGTGGTGGCCGAGAGAGAAGAGTTTGCCTGGTGGAAAAGGGCAAGTGAACGAGGAAGAGACGAAGGGTACGGGACAGGCGGTTTGGGAAGGTGTAGAAGGAAGGTAACTTGGCTCGCCAGCTGTGGTGCCTGCCAGTGTGTTCTCCCAAGCTGACCTCTGCACGCGCCTTCCTTATCGTGTCTGGAATCATCTGCCTACCTTGACCGCGTTTTCGCCCCCTCCTTATCTCTTCTCACAACGCGCCGGGCTTCTGCACCCAGACTTGAACAATGTCCCCATCTGGAGCAGAGGCCAGCGAGAAAAGACATGGCAACAGGCACTCGGGTGTGAATAACCAATGAACCTTGGCACGAGTGCGAGTTCTGCTGGCCGCAAGCTCGGCTTTCATCTCCATCTTCAGACAACACTGAGGCCACCGAGGCCGCGTCACGCCCATGCCACAGACAACCACGCTATGCTCCAGCTTGCTGTCCTGTCCCTGTACCGTCCCAGATTCTGCTGCCCCGCCAAGCACCTTGTCCCTGACTGCCCAGAGATCGACATGTCCCGGCAGGCTGGCACCATCAGTTCAGTAGAAAGTCGATCAAGCCCGGCCATTCGCCGCACTCGCCACATTTCCTCTAAGGCGAAGAACATTGTGGGAGACATAGCGGTGGGAAATTCATACTCTCGTGCCGACCTCGCCTTGTCTACAGGCACTCAAGGTGATATATGTAGATCGGTTCTGCCAGGCGTCTGACGGATGCCCCTTCATCGGTATTAGTGGCGAGAAATCTCGCTACCCGTTGGCGTGTGTGGCTGAGCTACCCACGTAAAGTGTAGGAGTGTGTGCTTTCAAGTTTTAAGTTTTGAACATGCCTCGCGTCTCTGTCGATGCCTGACTTGCAAAGAAGTTATAACAATGATGCCGACGGAGCCGCCTACTTTGTTAGCGAGCTCGGAAAACTCCACTCGTATCTGATGTCGCGCGCGACCCCTCGCCTTAATGGCACGGGAATCATGGAGTTGTCTGCAATATTGCGTTGGAATCAGGATAGGTGGCCCAGGCTTGCTGCTGCAACGGTGTAAGCGAGGAGACGTCAAGATGCGAATTTCAAAGCCGATAATTAACTAGCACGTTACCCGTTGCGGCGAAGTGCTATGCCGGTACGCGGCCTTAACTCGGCAAGGCTAAAGTATACACGGTTAACTACCTAAGAATATACTTATAAGGTAGATATATAGGCCTAGATAGGTACCTAGCTACTAACTTTTTAAGATAAGTAATATTATAGAAACTCTTAAGTAGGGGCTTAAGAGTATAGAGGTCGCTTAAGAAAGTTATATCTAACGCTAAAACTAGCGCTAAGCTATATAGGGAACGCTACTACTAAATTTAGCTATAGCTTACTCCTGCCTTCCTTATACTCGTTTCTTCCCTTAAGTACGTTTATCTCTTAAATATACCTTAGAATTCTCTTAATCTAAGCTTAGATATACTCTTATAGTAGCTCTTTCTAAGCTAAATTCTAAGCTACGATAGCTTCCTACTAGCTTTATAGCGCGCTTTTTCTTATAGTCCGTCTCTTTATCTAAGGCTAGGCAGGCTCTATTATATTAAGGTTAGGGCTATTACTATACTAAAGAAGCCGCTAAACTTAATAAAGGTTATAGGCTTACTATTAAATATAGTAGTTATATACTAAAGCCTTATCTTCTTAAACTATTATACTTAGTCGGTCTTATACGTATTCCTTAGAGAAAGGGAAGAGCTTTAGAATAAGGATCTTTCGTTAATATTAATATTAGTTAATCCTAGCGCCTTTATAGCGCGTAAGCTTACCGGTCTTCGTAGTAAATTTCTAAGTTAGCTTCTTCCTAGGCTTTATACGAAGTCCTAGTCGCCTTATTTTAGTTATAAGCTCCTAGTTCTCTTTCGCGGCTAGCTCTAGCTCTTTTTTTATCTCCTAGATAACTCTCTTAGTATCTCTTTTCTCTTATATAGTCTCTAAGGACTAGTAATATAAAGGGCCCTTATAATCGTACGAAAAGTAGCCTTAGAATATAAATTCTAAAGAGCCCTTTTAATGCTAGTAAATATAGCTCTTTCTAAACGCCTTATCGCTCTTATACTAAACGCGATAGCTGCCTTTATAATAAAGTAAGATAATAGAGGTCTTATCCGACTAAATTATATTCTTTTAATCTTTAAGAGTCTAGTCCTTTCTCTTAAGGTACTAGTATAGTTAATCTACCTTTATCTTCTTTATTAATCTAAGCTTCCTCGTTAGCTTAGTCTTTTAGAAGCTAAGCTTCCTTAGGACCTTTTAAACTATAATAAAGGCAATAGTCCTTCTTAACTAAGCTCCCTAGTAATATTAGTATATATCTTCTCCTAGCTATACCTATCGCGGCGGACCTTCTAGGCTATCTTCTCTTATACCTCTTTTATTTACCTAGTTAGGCGGCCGGACTATAAGGCATCCTTAAGAAATTTATCTTAAATAAGTAACGGCCGGTAAGCTATATTAAATCTATGCTTAATTACCTTAGTATAAATACGGTTAACCTAATAAGTAGAGACTCTTATAAGGCTAGTAACCTTAAGGGTAGTCTTACTACTAAATTTAAGCTTAACTATAAGAGCCCTTATAATAATATCTATATTTAAGGCTATAATAAGGAATAATATAATAATAAAGATATATAAATTTATATAAAAGAAGAAGGTAATATTTCCTTATAAAATAGGTATAAGGTTTCTTAGCTTAATTTTAAGCTATATATATAAGGATATATATAAGGATTAGCCCTTTATTAAATAGAACTTTTAAAATACTCCTTTATATAGTAAAAGAAATAAAGGTATAGAAAGGTAAATTTAATAATATATATCTTAGTCTATTTATTAAGATAAAAAAGGAATCCCTTACTTTAGTTAAAATATTATTATATTTTCTTAGCTAACTTTTTAAAACTAAGCTTAAAATATAAAAAAGTATATACCTAAAACTATTATAAATAGTATATTACGCCCCCCTAAGTATAGCTTTATATAGCTATTAGTATCGTAAAGTATAGCTTAATTCCATAGTTCTTAGAGATATCCCTTAGTATAAGGGACTAAGGAAGCTAAAAACACTTAGTATAAAAGAAGGAAAAAGGAGCTAAAAAGAGGTATAAAAAGGAGGGTAGGGGTATAAAGGGAAGTAAAAGTAGCGATAGCTTCTTATAAAGGTAGCGAGAGATAAGACGGATATACCGGCAACGGCTAGAAAAGAGGGGGAAAACCGGTAAAAAGCTTAGTAGTTAAAAGGATATTAGTAGCTTCTTTAAGTAAGATCTTCTTTATTAATTAAGATGCTAGATAGGTATAAAAAGAGGCGTTAGATAAAGGAAAGAAGGATAATTAAAGGAATATAATAATTACTCCCTTACCTTTATTGCTACTCTTATAAGAATTAAATCTCTCTACCTTACCTATCTAACCTCTTACTTTTAATTTTACCTTTATATATTTTTATATACTTCTTATATCTCTCTACGTAAGGGTTATAAGCCTAGGAGAAATAGAATTCCTATACCTTCCGGCTACTATAAAAGGTACCTTTCTTATATCCCTCGTAGCTTCCTTTTACCCCTCTTACTAGATAAGCCGATTTTTAATTAACTTTTCTACCCCTCTCCTATAACGATATCGAAAAACGACTCCTTTACCGTCCCTATAGTTTATAAAACGATTCTTATAAAGCCCTAAGATTAAGATAAGTAGGTAAAGGAGCTATAGGCTTATATAAATAGAACTATTTATAATTTAGTCTTCTCTAATAAGTAGGACCCTCTTAAGCCCCCTCTTTATCTTAAGGCAACGGAATTTATAAAGGGAGCTTCCCTCTTTTCTAAGCTAACCTCTATATAGTAGAGAGCTTTTTCTACTACCTTAGGCGACTATAAGAGTTACCGAAAGGAGTACTTCTACGAGATAAAGCTACTAACTACTATATATATAGCGATAACGGAATCCGTTAGTACTATAAAGCTAATCTCTCTTTAAGAGGAAGAGACTCTTAGGTAGTAGCTTTTAAAGCTTAAGACCTTAATAGCTCCCTTAAGGGGCTATATAACTAACTATATTAAGAAGACCTATATAGCCTACCTAAGAGCCTTTTTTACTAGGAACCTACTAGCTTCTTTATAGCTAGCTAAGTAAGAAGAAATCCTTAAGGAAGCTAACTAATACTTCCTTATAGAAGCTCTTTCCGGCTAATAGCTATAGGATATATCTCTACTAATAAAGCCTATTAGTAATAGTTATTTAACTATCTTTTAAGAGGCTAGCTAGGAACTAAATATAGAGGCTATTAAAGTATAATAGGAAGTAGTCTTATTCCTTTATAGCTAGTACTTAACCTAGACGGTTTAACCTATAGCCCTTATTACTATAGCCCTTACTACTACTACTACTACTACGGCTATTGCTCCTTTAGCTCCTCCTCCCTCGAGAGCCTTAACCCTATCTTTAACGGCTACCCTAGTCCTAGCCCTAGCTCCGTCTTTTACTCTAGGCCCGGTCCTATCTATTAGACCGGCCTAACTAGTTCCTTAATAGACCTTTTAGTCCGTTAGTCGAAAAATTAAGGAACTAGTCGAAATCGAAACTCTTTATTAAAATTAGCAATAAGGGGTAAAAAGGGGGGCTTTTAAGTAAACCTTCTAGAAAAGGATAAGGATTCCTTAAAGAGATAATATATAAGGAGGAATCGACCTACCTACTAAGTATATAAAAAGCCCTATTAGCTAGAAGACTACTAATAAGTCTTCGAGGAAAACCGACCTAAAGGAGTTAACCCTTTAAAGAGACTATAAGAAATA